CCAAGCGGATATCGATACGGCCATCGTCTGCGAGCTCATCAGTACCAACCATATTTTGGGCAGTCCAAACAGCCTAGACTTCTCTAGAGTATACGTACGTCTAGTTCCGGGTAAAGCCTTGACCAGCTCTTCGACTGCTGCTTCATAGGTAGGCGGCGCCTCTTCGAACTGTTCCGTCTGCTCCTTTTCAGAAGCCCCGTGCGGTTGAATGGTCTTGTTAGGTAGCATCCCGACCGAGTCGAACTGGATGATACTGCTCTCTTTGTTGAATTAAATGCAGATAATTGCACCGTTACCACCAACTAAAGGAAAAAAGTTCTCTAATAGGTGTAAGGAGGCGTAGGTAGATAAAGTCATGGCTAAATAAACCAAGGACGAGCGAGATCGAGCCGCTTTATAAGATGGATGCAAACTCAGGAAGCTGCCACCAGGCTCTGTAACATCCCCTCCCATCGTACCCAAACCCGAGCCTGTGTCTGTCTCATGGCTCCAATTCTCTCCTCAAACCACTGACTACCAGTCCAAAAGTGACAGGATGGCGCCCCAGTGTTGCATTCGGGCCACTCCGATTGGCGGAGCAGAGTCGCGCACTCGGGTTGCGACCTCGGGTTGTGCTCTCGGCTCTCTCGCATTCGCTCGTTCTGGCATTTTCCAACGCTGCGCTAAGCCCAGCCGCGTGTCATGGCTCCTGCCGACGTCAATGCCGGCCGTGCCTTTGATTGCGGTGCCTTGTCTCGGGTGGCATAGCCGGGAGTCCCTTCGGCGTTTTGACCCAAGAGCTGAGCCTCTTTCGAGTACTTAATCACGAAAGACGCTATCTACAAAGTCGAGTCATCATCTTCTCCAATCCTAGTGCTTCCTCTGCTCACGGCCCTTCTACGGACAAGACGCAATTCATCATTTCAACAAACTCCCTTTTGGGTATTAACCGAACTCTTTCGTATCACTTGGAGACTGAGCAGTGAGCCATCAATGATTGCAATTATTGGTGTCTATTTCCATGTGCCTTCATCCTATCTACCCGCCTCCTTCATCACCCCAGTTGAGCTTTTGCTGGCAGGGCTCCTCAGTCACGGCTTCTCCTCCGCTAAGCCAGTAGCCTTGAGAAGTCTCACCATGCCATACAACCAAATGGCAACAAAATCAAGAAGAGCAAGCAAGCCAGTATCAGATCCCGGAATCCGATCCCGTTCGTCTCAGAGTCAGAATACAGTTTGGACTGTACCAGGGACTAACTGATATCCCGAAAAAGGAGGGAGTAGACTTTCAACGTGCGCACATTCAAATCCATCATCGACCCCTGACCCACAGCGGTAAAAGGTACTCATGATAAACCAATACCGCATTCTTCCAACGGCCGTCTCTAAAACTTTAGAGAGCCTTCAAAGTCGTGCCTCCCAAGTCGTCGAAATGTGCACACAAAAGAGTAAAAGGAAAAAAGAATAATGAGAAAACCGTTTCAAGGACAGACTGCGAAGCGAATTATAATGTTGTTCATGTCTTGTAGAAAGGCGGATGATACCGCTGCTGTGCTCCACAGGTGGCCCTCAGGTAAGTGAGCACGTTGTGCACAAAGAACCGAAAACAAATCGACACCATGCAATCCGCCAGTCCTGAACGTTCATGTCACAGAGTCTGGGCGTAAGTCGTGATATAAAAAAGGAAGCAAAATAGTGACCGGATAAGAAGTAAAAAGTAAACTGATTGAAATGACAGACCCCTTGGAAGGCCGAGTTGCTAATCGAGGCTTAAGCCACCGGGCTCGTCTTACGCTTCTCAGCACTCGTAAAAACTAGCCTTGGGGTTTTGCGGTCATCTGTCGCCTCCTGGGCCTGAGATGCTCGCTGAGCACCGTTCTTAAACACATTGGCGAATGAGCCATTATCGGTGTCTGATGCATCACTGTCCACGCTCTTACGAGTCTTCTGGCGCGAGCCAGGCCGATCAGAGCCAATAGCTCCCCAGCCTCCACTACTCTGCTTGCGAGTGTTGGAACACTCTTCGCCGGCGAGACTGCCGGAGCCGCTACGTCCAGACTCAGAATCGTTGTCGGTGATTGGCGTTGTCGATTCCTCTGCTGTCTCGGACACTGGGCTCATGCTGCCGGACGAGCTACCTGTCCCCTTGCGTCGTTCAAGACCAGCTCGAACAAGGTTGTGAACGGCAGATCGTCGAGTACGAGCAGCAAAGTTCTTGCTACCCTCATGTTTAGAAGTCGGCTTCAGCTTCAGCTCATCAAGAGATGGGGGTCCGCGAGGTTGGCGAACAGGATGCTCTCCAGCACGGGCCTGGCCAGGACCATATCCAGCTGGCGGGAAAGTACCCGTTCGGGGCCCAGCAGAACCAATTGCGGGATCTGTCGCGGTTGAGGCCAGAGCAGCGTTGATGGGCGTGATGGACTTGACCTTGTTGTGCCCACGGCGGAAGGCATTAGCGGATGGAGGTGGCAGCGGGGCGACCTCGACCGGAGACTCATATCTCTTGGGAGGGGAGTTGCTCCTGAAGCCGTTGGTCTGGTTCTCAGGAGGTGGGGAAACCTGCACGCGAGGGGTACCTTGCTGCTGCTGCTGCTGAAACTGTTGATATTGCTGCTGGTGCTGTTGCTGGAAGGTTTGGAAACCACCAGGTGTCATAGGCTGCTCCGTGTACATGTGAGTTGAGTTGTCAACAAAGTACTGTCCAGTCATGAGGTTGTAGTAGAACTGCTGTCCCCCCTGGCTCATGGCAGCCTGGGCACCAAGCTGATGCTGAAGATTACGAAGATGCTGCTGCTGCTCATAAAGAGCCATCTGCTGCTGCGCAAGCTGTGGGTTGTTCAAGTTGAGCTGCTGGAACTGCTGAGCAGCAGCTTGAACCTGGCGCAGTTGTTGCTGAAGTCTCTGCTGCTGCTGGGCCAGATACATGTTGGTTGCAACAAGCTGAGCATACAGGTTGGGATCCATCTGCTCCTGAGCCTGGTCATCAATAGGGAGTTCAGGAGGGGCAAGAACTTGATCTACAGTGTAGTGCTGATGCTGCTGCTGCTGTACTTGTGGCTGCACTTGCTGCTGCTGAGGCTGAGGCTGCGGCTGGGGTTGAGACTGAGGCTGTTGCTGCTGAGGCTGCGATTGTTGCTGTTGCTGTTCCACCATGACCTGGTACCCGTTGGTCTGTTGTCCCTGAGAGTTGAATTGAGGGAAAGCAGACTTGGGAGGGTTGACGCCATTGACATGAGCTGCGAGATTGTTCCTAGCAAACTGCTGGGATGGCCCTGTACCGGTTGGAGAAAGAGGGGGGAAAGATGTCGCAGTGGATGTCTTTGGGGCAGTCCTCAGACCTGCAAGCAGGTGTGAGCGGCTTGTGCGGGGTGTGGGAAGTGCATTCTCCTTGTCCGCACCGTTCTTAATGCTGTCAAAGGAAAGTGGCTTGATATTAGGACCTCCTCGACGAGAAGCGAGGCCTCCGATGGGGTTGCCTGCCCCAGCGTGGGAGGAGAAACTGTTGGAAGACATCTGAGCAAGACCGCCAGTGTTCATGGCTCAGAGCTGACCGAATATACGGGTAGAAAGTGTATGAGAAGATTGGATAAAGTGGTAAAAAAAAAATGAAGAGACGGAAAAAGCGAAGTTGGACGCTCAGGGCTCGCCGGCGGGTTCGCTTGTTCCGAATAAAAAGCCTCGATTTCGATTAGCGGATCGGAAGGCAGGTCGAGAACGGCTGTCTACTTTCGCGGAAGTTTGTATAAAAAGAAAAGTCCAAGAAATGGAATGCCGTTGCAGGTCGAAGAAGAAAAAAGGAATCCTGACGGGGATTTGATAAAGTGTTGGAGAAGAAGAGATTAAAAGAGTTGTAAATGCAGTGAAAGATGAGAGAATGACGCAGCGGCTGCGAGCGCTGGAAAAAGTATGGTGGCTTTGTAGTCTTGTGTACGCGTACACTTAACGACAAAGCGAAGTTGAGGCAGGGCACAACGGAGCTGACAGTCAACTGCTCTTCAAGGGAAGCGACGGCTAACTGAGACTGAAACTTGTCAGAAGCAGCGCGACGAAGCTATGCAGGCAGTTCGGGTGGTCAAAGGTCGAAACCGGTCCAATGCCTCTTTCCTTTTCTTGGGTTGCTGCCGATTGGTGGGAGGCGTTCCGTCTCTTGCCCTTCAGTGTTCTTTTTTTCTGGCTTTTTATTTAGTTTTGTCCAAGTTTTCTTTCCTTCTGTTTGATTTTCTCCCTCGGGTTCACAAACTGTCGGAATTCGATGGGTGCGCTGGTGGATCGGTTCTTGAGTTTCGATTTGGTGAAATTAGGTAGAGAAGACGGTATGCTGATCGAAGCAATAGTAATGCAAATAAAGAAAAAAGAATAATACAGTCGAATTACGAGTTGTCGAAGGCAAGTCGATCAGGATCAGGCGCAGTGATCTTAAAAGGCCCTCTGTGTGGCTGCGGGGTTGAGTTCTTTCCTTTGTGGCAGGTTGCCGATTATTATTGTGGTCGAAGCGGGAAGAAACCGGTGCGCACGCACGTACGTACGCGAATTGAAAAAGGCGACGGGCGAGACGATACGATACGAGCGAGCACAGACGCCAAAGGGCGATCAAAGGAAGGAATAGAGGAATAACTGGAGGGAGGCGAAAGGGGAAGAGCAGAGAGAAAAGAGGGAGGAAAAGCGGTACGAATGGGGAGCGGGAAGGAGGAGGGAGTTGGAGAGATTGGAAAGAGAGAGCCCAGGGCCTGAAGTGATGGAGAGCATGGATGGACGGGATCGAGGAGGCAAGAGCTCGACAGCCAGACACACAGAGAGTGGCAGGCGGTGGCCAATCACAGGCCCACTGAGGCCGCACTACAGGAGCCCCACCTGACCAATCAGACGCCTGCCCCCCGGCTGATCTAATGAAGGTGAAGGTGCGATGTACCCCGTACCTGCCCACCCACAGTGGTACCACCGCTTGACAGGTACAATGCACAGCCAACGCTGCGGGCAGCGCGTGACTCGTTGGCTCCAGCTCCGAAAGAGACTGTCCTGCTTCTAGGAACCCGACCAGCGAACCTTGGTGACAAAGTAAAAGAACGGGCCCTCGATCTCAATGCCAGCGACCTGAATTTGATGCAAAGTGGCCTCTTTCTGGAACTCGGCGGCCAAGCCTCGCTGAGGCCGTTCTTGGATGTGCAGCACACTCACATCCATACGAATCCAAATCCATATCCATATCCATGACCCTGTGACATGGATGACAAAGGACCCCTTGTCCGCTCTGGAGTACCTACTAGCAATTCAGACCATGGGCTGAGCACGTAGCAGCATCGAGCCCCTAACGCAACCTATCAGCCTACCGGGGCTGCGTGACTACAATAGTGCGGTTATCCAGTGCGAGCAAGTAGGTAGCAATTTTTGCTGGTGCCGCATGCATGGAGCGCAGGCCAATCAGGGCTTCCAGGGGAAGTGCTCAGGGGTTTGCTGTGCTCGTTGCAACCTCCCCATCCCCACAAAACCCTGCTGCCACCTCAGTGATGGGCACAAGCCGTTCATCGAATCTTGGGTGGCGATGTGAGCGGCATAGTCACGGTCTGACCTCTGGCCTCGAGGGTGGTGTGTAGCAGGCAGGCAGGTACATGGCCTGGCATCCATCGTATAATGCCTTTCGTGTCTACCTCGATGGTACACGCGGGACCTTCGGTCTGGCAACCACAACCTTAATATTGAGGCTGTCGATTGCAATCTCGTGTTGAGGACTTGCGTTTATAATACCTCAATCGTCGGTCCCAGCCGTGAGAGCCAAGGTGCCTGTTTACCCACTGCCAAGCCGTGAGTACCTCCAGAAACAATGCACCTTCCACTTGCCACATTGATGCTGCTGCCGCATGCAGCTGCGCAACCAAGCACTTCCGAGCTATCGCACATAATTTACGCGACCTTCCGCTGGGCCCTCAAATAGCGGTCATCAATAGCGCCCCGTTTCCCATGCAGGCCCGGCTAAAAGACCAACAACGTATCAGAGTACCCCAGTCCCCCAATTGCATTCGATGGTCTGAATGTGCTCTATTAATGACTCTTGTGGGTTTTCCTCCGGGCTTTTTTTGCTTTTTTTCCCTTGCCCTGCCCCATACCCGCCGGTGACCTGTCTACCTCTTGTGAGCAAGTGTGACGAACTTGCTCTTAGGCCATGCAAAGCATGATCAGGCCCTGATGCACGTTCATGCGCCCAACCACCTTCCAAGGCGGCCCTAGATCTCTGCTCACAGATGCTCTAGAGGTTATGTTACCCTCCTGCAGCCTTGGAAGTAGTACCTCCCTGCAGGTACTCTCCGCTGCGAAGGGTGGCACGCATCACGCATCTCACGGGAACGAGCATACCTTAACGTTTGGCGATACGGCCCTACCAGGCACACTAGGTGGTTAATTACCAGATAGAGACACGGACACGCATGAGGAGTCCTGATGTTTCCAGTTCCCCTGCCCGCATTCCCTCCCACGCGCAGCTGTTTCATCCCTTCTTCCCAGAAATTAGCGCTCTACCTGGCCTGCCACGATGAATCCCACCTAAAACGCTGTAGCACAATACCGGCTCCTGGCGAGCACAGCCCGAAGCCACCGTTGAACCCCTGAACCGACAGGCCTCCACTGTCAGGGCCGCTCGGGGCACTTGGGGCATGGCAGCAGGCTACTGAACTCCTTCTGTGGCCCCACACATGGATTGGATGCAATACCCGCCGCTGCTATCACTGCATTGGCGGTCCCGTGCAGCCACTGTTCCTGCTTCCTGCTTACAGTACCTCTCGCTCTCTTTGGGTCTTCATCTCCCGTTCCAGCCACCGATTTCCCTTGATCACTACGTATTCGGACATCACATGCAGCCACTCTCAACAAGGCCAATCCGCCCCTATGGAAATTAAATGCACAAAATACGCACATGCTCCCTGCCAGACATCCTTGGCCGTGCGACCCTCCCGTGAGCCATGGCCATCTTCAACCGACTATTGCCTGCGCGTCAAATGAGTGAATGTCATGCCTCGCCGCGCACCATCATCCCCTCCAGAGGACTACGCCCGCCGTCTCCGCCCCGTCATCCACTAACTCGCTGCTATTATTGCTCACGATGCAGCCCAACACTGCCCAGCTGTCCGCCAGCGCTGCTCCCTCCCGCTGGGCACTCTTCTCCTGCTCGTCTAGCCCTTTGAGCATGGATCGGCGGTCCCCCCTCATGTCGAGTGCTGATCCCGCCCACCCATTCGCTGGCGACCCTGCGCTTGTCAGGCGCTTCGATGTGCTAGATCGCGTAATCCCAACGCATCTTCACCGCGTCTAGCTCCCTCCAGAGCGATCACAGTCGCGAGCCACCTCCCAGTCAGCATGCAATATGCAGGGCGCCGGGGTCCTGCGCTGTCACTGAGCGCTTATCATCCTCCCGCCCACCAGCTTTCCTCAAAGGGAGCCCCCCCCTTCCCCCTCCCTCCATAAATAGACGTGTCTCCATTGGCCGGTTGACCTTTTGGGCGTTCGGTTAATTAGCTGAGATCCTTCCCACCTCTGGCTCCGATTGAATAAGGACTGTGTAATAATAATCCCAACTTTGCACAGCATCTGGTGCACCCAGAACAGGAGGGGCCCGGTCCATCTGCCGGGATGTATTTTTGGAAATGCCCACGGTCGTTTCTTGTCATCTGTCAAAATGTCTCTGTTTTCTTTTTTGCATGCCCGTGGGGAGGGACCCGTTGACGAATACTTGTTCAGTGTGGTGTAACTCCAGTCCCCAACTGTCCAGAAATTACAGTGCAGGCAGCGGGCTCGCCCCATTGGAAGCTTTCCCCGCGATTTGCTGTCTATCAAACCAGGACGTCTGAAGTTGAAACAGGACAGCCTCGTGAAACAAGCGCACTTCCTGGCATGAATGATCCCCCTCGCACGTGACGATGACGACCATAGATGGACGGCTACCGCCCGGTCGTCGCTTGTCGCTTGTGTGCTGGTCTGGTTTTGATCATCTCGTTCAACCGTGGAGCGAGCTCTTGAGACAACGAGGATTTGTAGGCTTAGTAAAGAAACCAATCATGGCGAGGTATGACTAGAGCCGTGATATCTTGTCCGATCTGTCTCTCGTGAGGAAGTACCCTTCTTGAAACTCGTATAACAGCGGCAGCCAGTCCAAGAGAAAACCCTAGCGAGGATAATTGACACATGTCCTTGTCGGACTTTGCATTGCGATACTGTCCCTAGGTAGGCTGTGATGCCTCTCATTTCCGGGAGGGCCGTCAGCCTGGTTTCGAGGACCATAAACGCGTAATCGCAGTTTCAGCCAAGTATACTCAATTCTGACTCACAAGTTTAATCCTCTGTTTTATCCAAAATGCCATAAAGCATAATCACAGTCTTACACTTATGTCAGAGTGCGAGAATGCCTCCATCGCATGATCGGCTTTGACTCATCGATGATGCCTTGCCACAACGACACGAGTATAGGGTAGGTCGATTCGCAGGGGATCATACCCAACCAACTACCCAAGGTTCAGTAGTTGCATCAATTCGATGCATAGTGATGGCAAATTCTGGACCAGGCATCCAAAATGACGAGTATCCATTTCCAGTTGTCGACGCTTGAGTCTAAGCAGCATATGCACTGCACCCGACGATCTGCTCGGCCGATCTCATGTCGCCCTACCCGTTTCACCAACCTCCAAACCGGGCCGTCAACCTGGAGGAATGGACCCAGAAGCCGGGATAGCCCTTCCTCACCAGCTGCAAAGAAGGCCGTCATATAAACCTACAACAAAGGCACTAAAGTGGGTAGTTGAGTGCCCAAGGAAGGCGATCTTGCCGTGCTGGATCTTTCCTCCCACCTGCCCGATATCACCATCAGCGAACAAGACGGTTATAAGCCCACCACACCGGCGCGGAATGATCTGAAAATGCCATGTTTCACGTCTCCGTGCGTACGGATGCGTACCCGGCGCCTGGAATAAAGGCCGTTTCACCATTGATGGCCCGAGGCCGTGGTCAGAGATCTCGGCCCTGTGTGCTGGGGCGAGCCGTAGACGAAAGCCCGGCGTCGAGAGCCCTGGCAAATCATCCGTGTGAAATAGCCAAGCCCAATCCCCAATTAGATCATCGACGGCGGTTTTGTCTGGTTGTTGTCCTGGACAGAGTGCTTTGACTCGTGTCTTGGCCGGCGACGTCCGTCATGTCTAGGGCCTCGGATTTACATGACATGTATATCGGCGCATCCGCATCGTTCAAGAGCCCTGACCACGGAGCTATAAGCAATTACGTGGAAATCAGCGAGACGATGGGAGTAGTGTAATTCAAGAAGCCCGCCATTCTCGAAGCCGTAGTCGCAAGTGTTCAACAAGAAGAAATCTAGGGCCGGGGGGGGGGGGGGGGCAAATGCTCCAGGTAAAATAGCCCCCAAGGCTGACGAAAAGGGCACCCCGTGTCAGCAAAACCGCCCTAAATAAATCAGGCCCATCGTTTTCCGATTCTCAAGTGCGAGATCTTTCCCGAGGCAGGGTCGAGTGGCAATGGGGAAGAGAGTCGGCGACAAGGCTGGTCGGCGACCAGCTTGCCAAGTGAGATCGGGCTTCATTCCGGAAATGTCTAGGAAAAAAACGGCTAGTAGCATGTTGTGTTTATGTCCAGTGGCTAGAAATGGAGATATCATTCGAAATCCTCCACAGAAACCCTGTTGTTACTTACTTGTTCACCTGTTGGGCGTAGCTTATGCCGCGGCGCACATCGCGGTGATCCCATAGTTTAAATTGACGAATGAGACGGCGCCAGTGCGGTACGGAAGGGGAAGGAGACTTATAGTCGGCAAGTAGTCAAATCAGAGAATGGTTGTCGTAGGAATATCTCGGAGTGTGAGAAGAGCGCAGTCCTATGCATCTCTTTCGATCCTGGGAGGCTTGGTATGGACACATCGAGACATTGCCCGGGCATGATAACGAGAACAACAACCTCCCTGATCGACGGGCATAAGTGGAAACGAACTCCGATTTACATGTGTGTGCGCTGACCGCGGGAGTCTGACTGTCTATTCTCACACCATCCGGGCCGGCTGATCACCAACGCATATACGGTTATCGTGACATGGGAAGGAATATGTCAACAAGCCCAAGTTCAAGGTGGGCTCTGGAACAAATTCCTCGTAGAGGAAGAGCGGCTGAAGGAAACTTCTTGGCGGCCGGGTCTGACGATGAGGAGCTTAAACGAAGGGGGGTCAGACCCGCACAAGAGGGCCATCAAGGGGGCGGCCGAAGATGCGTCGAGTATGAGCCATACGTCGACAAAAGCCCGAAAACCGCCGCGGGACTGACAATGGGAAACCTGTAAGCCTACATAACTTCACCGAGTTTGTGAAACTTATTATCCGTCAGCCTCCCCCTCCAGGTCCGCCCTCGATTCAGAAAGTGGTTGCGGCCGACGGCCGCCCTCGTCATATTACCAGCCGCTTTTTGCACTGCCTCCTTTGTACCCAGGTCTCTCTACCTGAGCCCGCGTCGGACTATCTATGTACAGAACCCAAGGGACACACCCTTAAGAGAGGCAGTCTCATGATCGCATGATCGATTCCGCGACCACACCATCTGGCCATCGCGCCCTCTCTTACACCCCCCTTCGTTTGACCCACCATGCCAGACATCAATGTACCTGTACTTTGAGCCCACCCCCAGATATGCAAGATTGCCGCCTATGTATGACGAGAGCAGGTGCGAAGAAGGAGGGGTTGGTCAGTTGGTTGTGATGCTGTCAAGGCTCTTGCTGCCGCTGTTGTTATTGTTGGTCATGGCTCTTCTCTATTTTCCACCCCAACGTAGACACATGCACGATCAAGACGCTTCCTAATCGCCCGGCATACCAAGCCACTGTCAGCTCCCATCTGTTTCAGTGGCGGTTGTCTCAATAGACCCATTGGTTATGAGTCTCTCTGTCTTGTGACGACTTCCCAATGCAGGTCGTAAGCAGAATCATCAATTTTAGCTGGCAGACTTACGCCGGGTCGTCTAAGACTGGCCAGGTGTTGAAGTGCCTCGAGCGAGGTCCTTCGCATATCATTTCCTCATTCAAGCAGTGTCCGGCTCATTGGATGACATGATTGCCTCACTCCGAAGGTTCTGTAATGTATTTGTTTGTCGATGTTTGTCTCAAAAAAAAGTGATTGTATTTACATCGGGGTTAAGAAACGAACAGGGAAGGTAGGCTGATCCCGCCATGGGACATCCGTTCGTGTTAGCCAAGTAGGACAGTCTCGTGTTGAACTGTTTCCGGTCTCCTCAATGTACCAAAACTATATATGCCAATAATTGCAAAGGAGAAATAGAAATGGTTGTAAACAATACCAGTAAAGTTGAATATCTCATTAGATACAAAGGAAAACCAAAGACAAGAAGAGAGAAAAAAAAAGGAACAGAAATAAAAGAAATAAGAGAAAGAGAACAAGAAAGAAAGAAGAAGAATCACAATCCGAAGATTGAGGCATCGAAGCAGAGAACTCCCATTGCTTGGGATTCTAGAGAAATCGTTACTCATGTCGTGTCCCTCCAGCCCTTTTTTTTAAAACTACCGTATGCATGCACAAACACATCTCTAACGTCGCTCTTCTGGGCTCACAGTGTCGCCGTAATAACCACCTTCGCCGTGTTCTCGGCCTGCGGCGGCGCAGGCGAGACAAACCCCGCCGCCGTACACCCGAGTGTGACGTGTCCAGCCTGACCCATCTTGATCGAGCACTGCAACAAGCTCGCCCTGAAGGCCGATCTTGGCCTCGTCGGCAGGATCGTTATTGAGAAGTTCGGGGAAGGTTGGCGGTGGTGGCAACACAGGGCTGGTGGGCGGGTAGGAATTGGCCGGGAAGACCAAGTCCGTGTCAGAGTGTGAAGAAGACTCCCGTGAGACAGGAATGCCAATTGGAACAGTCTTGTTGTACGACAACCGCCGCGGGTACGATGTTGTCACCACCGTGCTTGGCTGCGAGCCCGAGCTGGGCGTCGAGGCAGAGGTGTAGTCCGGGTTGGGCTGGTGGATGAAGCTATCCTGGCCCTGGGCGCGCACATCCAGCGTGAAGACGGTGGAACTCAACTCCGGGGGTGTTAACGGCGGGGCGGGAGGTGGCCGGCTGATCAGGTACGGGAGCCCGTGGGCACTGCTGGAACCCCATCGCGACTCCAAGGCCAAGGGCTTTCGCACCAACGACTCAATGTCGTCCTCCCTCAGTCTGCCGTGGCGCGACTGGACACTGGCGTCACTAGCACTCTCGGGGCTGCTCATTTTCTCATCCATATCCGTATCCCAGTACGGCGGGCTCAATGGCGACGGGGGCTGGTGGGCGTATCTCAGCGAGGTCCCAAGCTGGGTCAGGTCGAAGTCCTGGTAAGCGTTGAGCACATTGGGATTTGGCTGCGTCCTGTTTGGCCTGCTGAGTCTTGACAAGGCAAAGCGCAAACAAGAACGCAAAATGACAATGGTTGCGAAAAGTGCAAGACAGGCCTCTAGCGCAGCCGCGGGTGACCAGCCTCTGAAGTACTCTCCAGCCCCGAACAGAGTGGTAACCATGTTTGAAACGGTAGGTTTCGTTTCCCGCTTTATTAGTGGGTTGGGTTGGGTGAAAGAGACCAGTGCTTTCAAGAGTAAGCCTGGCCGGGGGTGTCAACGCGCAAGCCAGCAAGTCACTCTACTTTGCTTGCGTCTGCGGTAAGACGGCAGGCACGTTAGGCGATAAAAAAAGACTTGCCCTATACTAGACGTACCCTACCATAGGTAATCCCGCAGGCGACTAAAAGGGGAGTTGACTCGATTGGTTTGGTGGTGCGAGATGGCCGACTCGGGGCGCTAGAGGCTGCTTGGTTGGTAGGTTTACTTGGGGGGTCGGCCTTGTCTGGCCTTGCGTGCGTAACGGCGGAGCGCAAGGCTGAGATGCCCAAGTGCACCTTGCGTTGCGCGGCACACGTCGTTATGCGCGTCCTGAGATGCCCAAACGGGTCAATGATTTGATTTGACCACTAGGCCAGGCTGAATCCTTCCACTGGGTGGGTGGCAGTAACGGCGAATACCCCAATTGTGGAAGTAGCGGAACGTCCGTAGATCCGGCACAGTCCCACGGATCCAACGTGCTGACGTCTAGCTCTCGGCTTCGCGTGGACGCTCCTCGGGGATTTAGGTCAATCAGCTCGTGAGGGCTGAGAGAACGACGCGTAATGATGGTCTGGGGATCGCGAGCAGCACTCAACCATTCCAATGTACAGCTTGGTTGGCGCAGCCGGGGGGGTGAGCTGGGCGAGAGAGCGGGTGAGATGGGACGTCGGTATGGGAGACAGCATTCACAACCTTATATCTATCCTGGGTAATTACATCAGGGTGAGCCAGTACAGCGACCTGGAACATGAGGAACTAGCCGTCGGACCATACCAAAGAGCACCACGGCGATTGGAAGCACCTCGACGATGGTTAGCGATCATGCGCTGTTAGATCCAAAGTTCCAGACAAGGGCTCTCCGATGGCCCCCTCCCCCATGAGCCTAATTCAGCTTGGAGGCTGCAAAGGTTCAGCTGTCGAAGAGCTATCCGCTCGCGAGGCAAGTGTTCCAACTGGCCCATAGCGGAGGCTAAGTGGGCTGGCCATTCCGATCCTGATTTGTGGCGTTGTTGCCGGGACTTCGTAAGCGCAATACCATGTACGAGGGACTGCCTGACCTATTCAAAAACCCACCCACCTGCTGATCCCAGGACTGGAGCACTAGTTAAATAGCCATGGCCGTGTGGGCATCCCCTGCTGGAAGGAAATGCAGGTGAAGGATCCTGCAGATGCTCGAATTCGGCCAGCTCGAGACTCTGCGCGCATTCAATCAATGTACAACGTACATACCTACGTACTGGTGGCAATCGGTAGCCTTGCAGACTAATACCGGTACGTGCCAGTGGCTAATAATATTTTTTCCTTCTTCGTTTTCTAAGCATGGACCCTGGTCTCTGGTCAGATAGTCAGCTGTTGGACGAAATTCTTGTGTGTCCATGCGCGAAGTGGCAAGGTACGCCCACCGGCCTTCTCATTCCCCCTAAACGGAGATCTTCTAGATTGCCATTATCCACCGGGAAGGTGCACACATGTGCCCGGTGTCCGCGATACGGAATCTGGATGGAAATGGAACAAGCCGTCGATTCCCAGGGGCGCGGGTTTGGCACAATGATGCCAGTAGACTCCACCAACAGCAGAAGATGAAAACAAGGCTGGCTGGCAACCCCAGGCCCCCTGGTTTTGGCCCAAAAATTACCAAACTTGTTGCGACAAGCTTGTTTGTTCATGACCGCCTGTGTACCGCCTGGGCACAAGTTGCAGAGATCCATTGCGTGCTGCCAGATGGCGGCTAAGACACTCCTGTAAGACCGTGGGCGTGTACGCTGTGTGTGAAGGATCCAGTTAAAAGAGGAAGCATAGGCTCTTCGCTTCGTGGGGAAATCTATTCGCTGTTGTGCCATGGGCCAAGCAGGCTATCGGATCTACCTAGTTCTGAGATGGAATGTGCGAAAGAAGCACTCTGTCTCTTCTCCCACTTTTCGCTGAGGTGAGCCTCTGAATGGGTCCATGGTATGTACATCGACATTACCTCTAGCTCAGGGCAGATGATAGAGTGTGAGACCAGGGCTAGGCTTGCCCTCGCAATGCCCCTAGACCCTGCTCCATGGGGAGGGATGCGATGCGCCAAAATAGCGATTGGCTGGCCGTCAGCCCTGTGATAGTTTGAGTAAGATGTTCCATTGGCCTTCATACGTAGGTAGGCTTTGTTGGTGTTGCTCTCTGGTCTGTTTGTGGAGAAGAAGGACATCGAGATGTGTTGCCCGGCCAGGGATGGCGATAGCCTCTATAGGCAGGGCCTGCCTTGGCTCCGCACATACATCAGCGGGTGTAAAGATATCAAGCAGCAGCGGGGTTCTGATGAAATGTGCATGCGTTTCCTGACTTTGCTGATGGGTCTATCTGTCTGCTTCCTGGTTTCTTCTGGCTCCTACCACGACGTCCCATGAGTCATCCCAGGAAACCACGGCCGACCAACAACTTACTCTTCTAGGCGATTATTATTATTCTGAGAAGGAGCGACAGCCAGACTTACAACCTTCAGGCGACCTCCCGGCCGCTACGACGGTGTCTACAGAGGAGGCTGGAGTGGGGCACCTCAGGCACAGGCTTTGAAACCTCCACCAGGGGCCCACAGACGCTAACGCCTTTGGGAGGGCTAGGCGCGATGCACTCGCTGGCGTTCACCACTCAGATTTGGTCGCCAAAGGTGATTCCTTCCCGTTCTAGCAGTTTCAGGGCGCCTGGCCCGATACCTGGCGACGGGCGTCACTGTACAGACGACCCTGGCCCTCCACTGCCAAGGGTCCAGGTATTGATACCAGCCGAGGCAGTACCCAAGCGGCACCTTCCAGGCCAACCGGCGGGAGGCCGTGGGATTGGCTTGGCCTGGCTTGGCCCGGCCAGGCTCAGCTTAGGGTATTGGGCTAGGTTCGGGCTGGACTGGAAGGGCTGCACATCGCATCTGCATGCACATATTCCACGCTCCTTGAAATCTCGTGGATTCCGTGTGGAGGCCGCGACCAGCTGAACAAGGGGACCAAGTGGCTCCCACCCCTCGACTGGGCCCGACTGGCAGGCAACCATCTGCTGCGAGTCGATCAGTGCCCCTCATATTACGCCCACCTGTAGTGCCGCCCAGCTTGCACAGCCGCACAGCCAATTTTACGAGCGCGACGGATGGCGAATCTGGGCAATTCGAATTTGATCAACGGCGGCGGCGAGCAGAGAGAAGCGCCGTGGAAGCAGAGGCGAAGGAAAGTTGGATTGATCAGCGGGTCCGCGTCATGGACCGATCCCTGCTCAGCTGGACGAGAGGTGCAGCGCCGCGGCATTCGTACGCAGAGTACTACCTTGCTCCCTGGGCGCTGGGTCTCGCAGATGCTGCTCTTCCTTCTTGTGCGCATACACAAGACAAACATAGCAGCATGTGTATGCCCACGGCCAGTCCTGCGGGGATGCACCGCCATTCTGCTGCGTATGCCTGCCAACCTGACTTGCTTCTCTCCACTTTTAGAACCTTCAGGTGGATGGTGGATCTCTGCCGCCAAAGTCACCAACGACGTGTCAGGGAACGATTCTTTCAGCTCGAGTGCCTACGCGCTATGACGCCATGGCTAAACTTGCCTCTACCTCTTTTGTTCCGTACCGGTCAATATTGATTTGGGGAAAATAGTCTGCGCTTCAGGTGCCCGAGACGACCCTCCACTCGCATCACAGGACTGAATACCTCGCCAGCACGTCGCTTGCATCTTGCTGGAATAACATCGTCATCTGCAAATTTCGAAAAGCCAGGGTCTTCAACCCAAGACTGAACCTGGCACCGACACGAACACAGGGAGGGATTCTGACATGGTCACTAATATGGGTCCTTCTCAGCCTTATGGAGCTGCGTTTACCCCTGTAGCGTCTCACCGCACCCCCCTGTACCCGTAATGTCCTGTTCTCCCACCCACCCGCCGGTAATCTTCAGATTGTTGTGTGTGGTGATGGCACGCATGCATTCATGTTGGGGACAATATCTACGGAGCGCGCTATTTTTGGCCCAGCTTCCCGTTTCTGAGAGAATGGGCTGTTCCCGCCCCCGTCTTTTGGTTTTCCTGCGGGCGGTCCTTGTAAGTCATTACCTCACATAACACCCTCCCTTTCTCTGATATTACGACTTAGATGGATCGGATGGAGCCAGACGAAACCTGCGAGTCATGCGGCCAGACAAGTGTGCCCAGAACGCGTAATTATTAGTTCAGATATTATCTGTCTATCTCGCCACTCTGTCGGTGAGGCAGACAATATTCGTTCCTAGTGTGCCTGTCAGAGTTTGTTACAGCCGTGGCCATTGCATTGTCAACCTGCGATGTAAGTGCCGTCCAACGAGCGCTTAAACAACCCACCCCCATCACCGGCATGTCTTGGCGCATCTCTGCACGATCTATCGCTGGGAGCGCCCCCTCAGACTATGATGGTGACCAATCACTTCCGATGAACCAGTCCAACCACCGACATTGTTACCCCGAGGAGGGGGTTCTGTGCAACTGTTGGTCATCGGAGTGGAAGAGACCCCTGCTCGATATAGATAGAGCCTCAAGCCAACACGCCAAACACGAGCGCCAACGCTGCCACCCGGCAAGCCACTGACAGTTTTAGGATGAAGCGGCGCAAAAGAGTAATCAATACCAATTGCTTTTCGCGCCGAGATGACCTTTTGTCATGGCCTCTCACCTGACATGAACGTCATGCATAGCTGGCTAAGACCATCTCGTCATGGGTTTCGGCATCAATAGGTAATCCTGGGATCTCGCGAATCTCCACCCCGTATTACTGCTTGCCATTGCCCGCTGGTCTATTCGCTGAGGACGCCCGTCCCCGGCGATTGCTGCAATAAGAGTGGCCGTATTGGGGGCTAGCCTGTGCGATGATGACCAGTAGCGCTTGTCAGAAGCGTATATACGGGAGTTGGACAGGCAGCACTTGGAGATCTCAGCACT